GCATGGACATTGATTTGGGTCTTATGCACGTTCCTCCTGCCCACCTCCCTCCCCCCCATCTAAATAAGAAAAGAGACACAGAGAGAGGGAGGGAGAGACAGAGAGATCTTTCTTCTGCTGGTTCACTCCTCAGATGGCCACAATGGCCAAGGATGGGACAGGCAGAAGCCAGGGGCCAGGAGCTTCTTCCAGACTTCCACGTGGGTGGCAGGAGCCCAAACACTTGGGCCATCTTCCGCTGCTTTCCCAGGCCATAACAGGGAGCTGGACCAGAAGTGCAGCAGCCAGAACATGAACCAGCACCCACATGGGATGCTGGCATCACCGGCAGCGGCTTACCCTGCTCTGCCACAGCACCGGCCTCACTTTGCAGCATGTTGGTGCTTTTGCTCACCTGTTACCAGTTGAATCTGGATCCAGCATTTCTACTCTTGCTCACCTGCAGTTTGGTGATGAGCTCCTTGAGAGATCTGACCCTTTGTTTGCAACTTCCCATAATCCTTCAGGGCCTGTGCCAAAGCCGCTCCACTGAATCCATGGAGTGACGTTTGCACTCAGTGGGTCCTTGAAGCCGATAAGTAACAATCCAAACCAGGCCACCGTTTTCTGACACAGGACTGTGTGTGGGATCCACTGAATCATGGAAATGACTTAGCCGAGTGGCTTCTGAAATGGCAGACGGCAGACAGTTCAAGAGAGGTCTTCTCTTTTCTTTCTTGGTGGAGGGGAGTACGAGTCATAAGGAGTCACAGATGGATTCTTTTTTTAAAAAAAGGTTTATTTATTTATTTATTTGAAAGTCAGAGTTACACAGAGAGAGAAGCAGAGAGAGAGAGAGAGAGAGAGAGAGAGAGAGAGAGAGATCTTCCATCCGCTGGTTCATTCCCCAGTTGGCCACAATGGCTGGAGCTGCGCCGATCTGTAGCCAGGAGCCAGGAGCTTCCTCTGGGTCTCCCACACGGGTGCAGGGGCCCAAAGACTTGGGCTATCTTCCACTGCTTTCCCAGGCCATAGCAGAGAGCTAGATCGGAAGTGGAGCAGCTGGGACTCAAACCAGCACCCATGTGGGATGCCAGCATTACTGGTGGCGGCTTTACCCGCTACGCCACAGCTCCGGCCCCCAGATGGATTCACTGAGGCTCCCAAGGAGGAGAAGCCTGATGGGCCCTGTGTTAGAGGATACCAGTGGCAGAGAACTCTTCGACACTCCTGCTTTGATACGTTGGGACTAAGTACAGTTTTTATTTTAAATGACCAAAGCCCCGTTCAACTCTTGAAACGCAAATGCATCAGCCAGTCATAGGTGTAGCAGCACTAACTCCAACTGGAAATTCTCATCAACATCTTCAGAAAACCTACCCAGGTCACGCTACCAAATGAAAAGCTGATTTGGAAACCAACACCAAAGCGTCAGGAAAGCAGATTTTGTTCCAGAAGTGAACAGCAAGGCACCAATTGCACAAAAACCCAGGACCTAAGGAGCCTTTAGAATCCACCCTTGTGTATCCTTAAGGTTTACTCACACTGTAGCATGTGTCAGAATTTCTTTCCAAGGCTGCGTGTTATCCACTGTATGGATATACTCAGCCAAGTGCTGCAAGAGACATGGACAAGATCTCGTCAAGAGCAGATTCAAAGTAGAGAAAGTGGGCAGTGGGCCGGTGCCGCGGCTCACTAGGCTAATCCTCCGCCTTGTGGCGCCGGCACACCGGGTTCTAGTCCCGGTCGGGCACCGAATTCTGTCCCGGTTGCCCCTGTTCCAGGCCAGCTCTCTGCTGTGGCCAGGGAGCGCAGTGGAGGATGGCCCAAGTGCTTGGGCCCTGCACCCCATGGGAGACCAGGAGAAGCACCTGGCTCCTGGCTCCTGCCTTCGGCTAGGCGCGGTGCGCCAGCCGCAGCCGCCGGCCGCAGTGGCCTCTCTCTCTCTCACTGTCCACTCTGCCTGTTTAAAAAAAAAAAAAAAGTGGGCAGTGTCCTGTCAGTCACAGCTTCTCTCAATTACACGCCCTCATGAAGGCACTGGTGAACAACCCTTACAGCGGGGTTCATTCCAGAGAACAACTTACTAAAGAAATTGGGGATCCTGAACAAAGTCCAAATTTGGTTTCAAAACTGAAGATGAAATAAAATGGCATCAAGTTCCCTAGCAGCCCTTATTTCTCTTGAGCCACAGCCTGGTGGACATGGAGACAAACTTAGTGATGTGGTATCATCAACCTGGTCCTCACATCTGTCTTCGAGGCCATCTTCTGATGACCCTGTGCGCCAAGCTTTCTGGAATGATAAGCAGGACTCCAGGAGGACGAGACGGGTGCAAGAAGCACCGCGTGGCCCTTTTGACTAAGCCTGGCTTCACGGTTCATCAGATACAGAGACAGTGAAAATCAACTTAGTATTTTCCAGTCATCATAGTAATGACTGATGCAGGTGAAAAAATGATCAACTGATGCCAAGAACCCCCAGGTGAAAGTCTGCAGAACAAGATACACACCATCGCGAAGAATCTCGTCATAGGCGTTTATTAATTACAAAAGGAAAGTTGGTCATTTTGAAGTGGAGAAACCTTCCCGACTCCGCCTCAAGCAAATTCACTTCACCAGTAGCAGCACAAAGCAATGAGGTGCCTCCTGACACGCTAATGAAGATGTAATATTGCTTCTGCAGGGCCAGCGCTGTGGCGCAGTGGGTTAACGCCCTGGCCCGAAGTGCCAGCATCCCATATGGGTGCCGGTTCAAGTCCCGGCTGCTCCTCTTCTATCCAGCTCTCCGCTATGGCCTGGGAAAGCAGTGGAAGATGGCCCAAGTCCTTGGGCCCCTGCACCCGCGTGGGAGACCTGGAAGAAGCTCCTGGCTCCTGATCGGCGCAGCTCTGGCTGTTGCAGCCAACTGGGGAGTGAACCATTGGATGGAAGACCTCTCTCTCTGCCTCTCCTCTCTGTGCAACTCTGACTTTCAAATACATTTCTGTAAAAAAAAAAAAAAAAGGCTTCTGCAGTTTTACTGACATAAACTGAGTGAGTGAGTGGAAAGGACCCATTAGGAGGGATCAAGCAAACCTGGGAGTCAGTTTACAAAGTGACATCTCTGGACACTTCAGCAGTGGCCTGAATGACAGTAAAGTAGCTAGCTCAGAACTCCGGAAGAAGTCTCTCGGGTACGCACCCTGTGCTACCACTTAATGTGGAAAAGACATGCCGAGGGCTGTTTGTGCCTGTGTCCAATTTTCCTCAGAGGAAAACAATTTTTTGGGTAGTAAAATACATGTAATTAAATTCCCCCTTTAAAACATTTGGCTAATTGGTGACATTAAATACACGCGCCCTGCTGTGCAACCCTCACCAGCTGACATCCAGAACCCTTGCACCCTGCAGTATGGGAACTCTGCACCTGTTAAACAGTCGCTCCCGGTTCTGCCCTTCCCCGGCCACTGACAACCACCATTCTGCCGTCCCTGTGAATTTAACTGCTGCACGTGGGTGGACTCAGACAAGTATTTGTGCCAGGCTTATACCACTTGTGTATCCTTAAGGTTTACCCACACTGTAGCATGTGTCAGAATTTCTTTCCAAGGCTGTGTGTTATCCACTGTAAGGATATACTCAGCCAAGTGCTGCAATGACATTTTCATCAACGGACCTCACGTGAATTTATCCCTTCTAGCCAATTGTGTGGTAGGCTATTTTGTGATGCTAACACAAGGATGAAGTGAGCTAATGGCTCATTTCTCAGAAGCTATCCCTGTTAAGCTACACATGACCATATACATTTGGCTGTTGTGAATACTATGTTAAGGATTCTTTTTTCTCTGTCACACACTATTTTACTTTAGTTCATTCTTCCAATTGAGGTATATTTTAGGTACAATGCAGTACATCTTTAAAGCATCCAACTCAATGAGTTTTGACATATGTATCCATTCATGAAGTCATCATCGCAATCAAGACAATGAACTCAGCCATAGTCCCCCAAGTTTCCTTTAGCTTCGTTATGAAGCCCAGGCCCTCCCATCCCTGTCTCCCAGGCAAGCACTGAGTAACTTTTTACAGATTACATGTGTTATGTTTGCTTTTTCCTCTTGGTGAGGTCTGCCTTCTTCTACTCAACACGATTAATACTGATCCATATTGCTGTATCACTAATCCTCCTTCATAGATGATACCACAGTTTATCTAGTCACCTGATAGCATTTGGGTTGTCTGCAGTTATAAAGCGACTCTGAACATCTGCTTATTACGAAGAAACCACAGCAACAAAAAACCTTGGCTGTGGACCCTACTTTCAATGCAGGGATTTCAGACCTGTCAAAATCACACAGTTCTTCAAGTTTAATGGGTAATTTGGATCCTTTCAGGACTGAATCTTTTACATATAAAGCAAAACCATTTGGACAGCACATCCTTTATTGGGTAAGGTTTTCACTTAAAGAAGTCAGCTCAACACCAGATCCGTGGGAGGAACTGCTGTGGCGGTGCTATGTACATTCTGAAACCTGGGCAAGCACAGAACTCGGGCCTCAGGCCTTCGGTGTGCGGATCGTCGTGCAGTGCCTCTCCATCCCCCCCCCCCCCCCCACCCAGAGCACACCGGGAGTCCAAACCTGTCTCAGAATCCTAGCAGCAGCTCTAGCCACCGCACGCCAGTCACTCACAGGAGACCGTACTCTCTGTTCCTTCTCCACCTGACTGCTGTGAGGAATTAAAACAATTATATAGACACTAAGCCAACACAAAAACCATTGAAGAAGACATGAATGGTGGTCCAGGAGGCAGCCAGATTTGAGACAGAACCAAATCATGAGGCGTGAAGGCTCCCCAGGTCATTGAAGAGCTGTCACTCTTGAAATTAAATTAGTTATGTCTTTTAGAGAATCTTCCACATGAAGTCTTGCCACCAATGTTATCCTACAAGTAAGCTAAACATTTGAGCATCTCCCCTCAATAAATTATCTCCTTCCTAAAAAAAAATTAAAGATAACATTTTAAAGGGTGAGACAAGTGGTATACAATGAGAAAAGTACTTTATTCAGTGCAAATTTTTCAGCTGTATTCATAATTACAGTACAAAAAATTTCCCTTCTTGCTAAGTAGTTTTGTTGTTTTACTTAAATAATTAGCTTTAAGAAAAAAGTGAAAATGCAAAACCTTATATTCCTTATGTGTATGTCTACATATGTACATATATGCATATGTGTGTCTGCTTTTTCATATGAACCGCTCAAAATAATTTCAAAACACATTCTTTTTTGCATTTAAAAGCAAGCATCCTTTTAAATATTTAGAAACTCCAGAGGTGGTGGCTTTAGTGGAATTTTTCCCAGAGTAAATTTCTTGGATTGAAATTGTTCCAGTTCTTCTGCTGTTAGCTGATCCTTGGCTGTAAATAACACGTTATCTTTTGTGACAATGACATTTGATACTGGGAGAGGGGTGGAGATGCTGCCATTTCCAAAGATGTCATTAGATGGCTTAGAGAACGCAGTCTGTGACTGTGAGCTCACATGACCAAAACCAGCCACAGAACCGCCACTGCCACAGGCTGGGGCTGCTGGGGCTCCGGCTGGGCCTGCCGCCAAGGAAGACGGAAATCCTGAAAATCCTGGCGATCCAAAGTTGGAAGCTGCAGGGCTTTTAAATGAAAATGAAGCAGCAGATGTGACTTCAGGTTTCCCAAATCCGAAAGTTGGAGTGGAAGTAGAGATGGCAGAACCGGCAGAGGGGACTGCTCCAAACGTTGGAGGACCCCCAAACACTGACTGGCTTCCAGAAGGGGCAGTGCCAAATCCAGAGTTTAGTTTAAAGCTAAAGACCTGAGCATTATTACTGCTGTTTTTCACTGGAAAACCTGCAAAATACAGGAGGAAAAATCTATTACAGTCAGAAGACAAGGCTATGTTATACTCCCTGCTGTCCTTATTTCTGCCATGTTTTGAGGTTGGGAAGTTAGAACACACTAACCCCACAGCCCTGTCTCTTCTACTATGGGCCTCATTTCCACTCTGGTTTACCCCAACCCCAAGGAAAAGCTAAGGGAACAGGGGGTGGACTTCACCAGCAGCTTGTCACCCCATCTCACAGCTGTAATGACAGTGCCCTGCTGGTACACAGAGCAACAGAAACCTCCCGAAAGTGCTGCCACCATAGTTACATATTCTTGTGAAACTCCTGAAATAATCATTCCCCAATCGTAGGATCCTTTAAACATCATGCCCATTCTGGCCTTGCTCACACAAATGCTTGACAAGCCAGTTCTTCCATGCTGCCTAATGTAAGGTGGGAGAATCTGCATGGGTGATTCGGCTTTATAACTTGAAGCCTTTTAAGTTCGACTTTTCTAAATCAGTGAAGGTCTGCATGTATCACTTACCTGGTGATCCAAAGGTTGTTGTTTGCCCACTGCCAAATCCAAACGTAGGGGCTGCTTGATTCATTCCATCCTTTACATCAGAGAGCTTTAAAAAAAAATGGTATGCAAATAATAAAGTACCTTTCCTCCACACTGTACAGCCAAATTCAGTTTTTAAAATATGTGTTTATAAAAGTGTGAAATTGTGTGCTAAATGTTTAGCCTTGTGGTCAAGTTGCTGGTTAGGATGCCTGAATCCCATGTTGGAATCCTGGGTTCGAAACCCACCCTGGTGCTTATTCTAGTTTCCTGCACCCTGGGAGGCAACAGGTGACGGCTCAAGTAATTGGGCCCCTGTTGCCCATGTAGGAGACCTGGACTGAGTTCCCAGCTCCCAGCTGTAGCCTGACTCAGTCTTGCCCATTGCAGGTAAACAAGCAGATGGGAGCCTGTTGGTCTGTCTCGCTCAAACAAGTGTGCGTGTGTGTGTGTGTGTGTGTGTACCATATATATAAGGTTTAATGTGTTTAATTGTTTAACATGGAAAAAGTGCCCATAATATGATGTTGAAAAGGATAGGATATAATTCAAATACTGGATAAACAATGTAATTATAGCTACTAATAATATAAATATATATAGAAAAATGTACATCAGTAAGTTAATAGTGATGGTCTCTGTTTGATGAATTCTAACTGTTTCTTTTAAAAAAAATTATTTATTTGAAAGGCAGAGTTACATAGAAAGAGGAAGAGACAGACACACATAGAGAAATCTCTTCCATTTGCTGGTTTACTCCCCAATGTGGACTGAGCCAGGTTGAGGCCAGAAACCTGGAACTCCATCCAGGTCTTCCACGTGACGGGCCATCTTCCACTGCTTTTCCAGGCACATTAGCAGGGAACTCTAACCCATGTTCATACGGGATGACGGCACTACAGGAAGCAGCTTAACCCACAATACCACAATGCCAGTCCCTGAGGGAGTTATCTGTGTTTTTTAAAAAATTTCTACCGTGAGCATGTATAATCACAAAGATAGCTTATTCTTATTTACTTCCACATGTGTGGCAAGAAACCTGTTATTTCAGCCATTACTGCTGTCTTACAGAGTCTGTACTGGCAGAAAGTTGGGGCCAAGAGCAAGAGCTGGGAATCAGATGCAGACCTTCCAATGCGGGCAGGCATCTTATCTGCTAGGCTAAACACCTGTACCCATGGGGCATGGGTATATACACGTACATACATACTTTATTTATTCACTTATTTGAAAAGTAGAGCAACGGGGGGTGGGGGGAGGGGGAGGGGGAAGGGGGAAGAGAGACAGAGATCTTTCATTGTTGGTCCCTGCCCCAAAAGGTGGCAATAGCCAGGGGTGGGTCAGGCCAAAGCCAGAAGCTAGAAACTCCATACTGTTCTCCCACACGGATGACAAGAGCCCAAGTAGTTGGGCCATCTTCTGCTGCCTTCCCAGGCGCATTAGCAGGGAGATGGATGGGAAGCAGAGCAGCTGGGTCGCAAACTGGCACTCTGATTTGGTTGCAAGCGGCAGCTTAACCTGCTGCACTACATCATCAGCCCCCAGAAAAATATTCTTGATAGTACACTTTGATATCTATATTATAAGGGAAGATCTGCATTTATTAAGAAATCTAGGGGCTGGTGCTGTGGTACAGTGGGTTAAAGCCCCCGTCTGCAGTGCTGGCATTTCATATGGGCACGGGTTCGTGTCCCAGCTGCTCCACTTCCGATCCGGCTCTCTGCTATGGCCTGGGAAAGCAGTAGAAGATGGCCCAAGTCCTTGGGCCCCTGCACCCATATGGGAGACTTGGAAGAAGCATCCTGGCTCCTGGCTTTGGATCAGCTCAGCTGTGGCCATTGCGGCCATCTGGGGAGTGAACCAGTGGAATGGAAGACCTCTCTCTCTGTCTCTACCTCTCTCTGTAACTCTTATCTTTCAAATAAATAAAATAAATCTTAAAACAAAAAGAAATCTAGACAATAGGAGAAAGAGACCTCTATAGGATATGCAATTTAATGCTTGAATATAATTATCTCATTAAACAGTTACTACTGGGGCCGGCGCTGTGGCATAGTGGGTAAAACCACTGCCTGCAGTGCTGACGTCCCACATAGGCACCGGTTTGAGTCCTGGCTGCTCAATTTCTGATCCAGCTCTCCGGTATGGCCTGAGAAAGCAGTGGAAATCGGCCCAAGTGCTTGGGACCCTGCATCCATGTGGGAGACCCAGAAGAAGCTCCTGGCTTCAGATCAGCACGGCTCCGGCCGCTGCGGCCATTTGGGGAGTGAACCAGCAGATGGAAGACCTATGGCTCTCTGCAACTCTGCCTTTCAAATAAATAAATCAATCTTTTAAAAAAAAGAGGCTACTACTAAAATCCATTGAACATTTCCTTTTCCCCTGCTAGTCCCTGCTGAGGGAGGTCTCTCACCCCCGAAACCTCCGCCTCCCTTTCCGGGAGCTTCTCCCTGACTCCTCCCTCCGAGAGGCCTTTCCTGAGCAAAGGACGCTCCAACAGCTTTTTTTTTTTTTTTAAAGAAAAAAACAAAAAACTTTACTTAGAGGTATAGATTTTACACAATAAAGTGCACCATTTTTGGTACATATTTCAAAGAGTTTTGACAAACTACCTCGATCAAGATTTAGAACATTTCCGTCACTGTGGCTGACAGCTGTGCGGAGGGTCACACAGATGGAAGCAGGCAGCACGTACTTTTCGCTCTTAGGTTTGACTCTGCTCCCTCGGTTTGCTCTTCATTAGCAGGAAAACAGATGAACACGTTCTAGCACATCCATACAGTAGGTCACCACCCCGCAGGCAGACGGAAGGGGCTGCCACACATGCTAAGGCAGCGATAGGTGGGCTGTTCCAGACCCCTACCCACAGAGGGGCCCGAGGACACCAGCCAAGAGCTCGGGATTTCCGGCTCCAGGTTCTTTGGATCAGTTTCCCTTCTCCAGCTCTCATTACTGACTACAGGCCACTCTCACCTAGGGACAGGCCACTTCCAAGATGGCCCACTCAATTCCAATGGCACAGCAGCTGAAAGGGGAAGGAACCAGCCTGGGCATGGCTGTACACTGGCTAGGAAGCAGGTATGCAAGGGAGGGGAGGACGCTGCGACGGTCAGCAATTGCTGTTAGGCAGATACCACTCCCGGGACTTTTACAGCAGAAGCTTTAAACTGCTGGAGGAACTGGGGTTACTAGGTTACTAACATTCTGAATGTAAATTTCTTGCTTTTTTTTTTTGCAAAGATTTATTTATTTACTTGTGAGACAGAGTTACAGAGGGAGGGAGAGACAGAGAGTTATGTCTTCCATTTGCTGGTTCACCCCCCAAATGCCACAAGGGCTGGAGCTGGGCTGATCCGAAGCCAGGAGACAGGAGCTTCCTCCAGGTCTCCCACGTGGATGTAGGGCCCAGGGACTTGGGCCATTATTCATTGCTTTCCTAGACCATTTGCAGGGAGCTGGATTGGAATTGGAACAGCCAGGACTCGAACTGGCACCCACATGGGATGCTGGCGTTGCAGGCAGATGCCTAACCTACTATGCCACAGTGCTGGCCCCCAATTTCTTGTTTTAAAATAACGTTCTTAAGGATTTTTTTATGGGGTAGAAAAATCACAATTTTATTGACAGAAATAGAAAAGCAAACTTGCTATAGTCAGGACCATGGATCTGTGGAGACAGGTGAGCATACAAGGGGCCTTTGGAAAGTTTGTAGAAAAATGGAATTAAAAGGTAAATGGATTTGGAGTACAATGTTTTCATAATACATTTTGCAAGAACGTTCTGAAGATCCTTTCTAAGTCTTCTAGCAGCATTTCTGTGGCTGACTAGGAACCCACTACGGTGAGTATCTTTCAGTCACTCAAGTGCACGTTAGTCTGTACATTCCTGTCACTTTTCAAAGTAACTTTTCTTAAGAACTCAGGTAACTTTAAATACTTGAATTTATGAAATATTTTCCAATTCTCAAAACTAGTACTACTAAAGTTAAAAACTATGGGGCAGGCACTGTGGCGCAGTGGGTTAACGCCCTGGCCTGAAGCACTGGTGTCCCATATGGGCGTCAGTTCGAGACCCGGCTGCTCCACTTCCGATCCAGCTTTCTGCTATGGCCTGAGAAAGCAGTAGATGGCCCAAGTCCTTGGGCCCCTGCACTCGTGTGGGAGACCTGGAAGAAGCTCCTGGCTCCTGCCTTCGGATGGGTGAGCTACAGCAATTGCAGCCAATTGGGGAGCGAACCATTGGATGGAAGACCTCTCTCTTTCTCTCTGACTCTCCTCTCTCTGTGCAACTCTGACTTTTGAATAAATAGATAAATCTTTAAAAAAATAAAGTTAACAGCTTGACTCTAAAAAGCATAATCATCTCTGCTTTCCAACTGAGAACAGATGAAAATGCCAGGGCCTAGATTCTCAGTGTTGTTATGCTGGGAATACAGGCTTTATAACTCTCAAGAGAGAATGCTTGCTTTGCTCCCCAAACGCAAGGTGAAGCAGACTCTGCAGCACAGGCAGCAGGCCAGCTACTTCCCTGAAGTCTGCTGATACTCACCAAAGCCGCCTGAGTTGAGGCATTTATATTTTTCAGCTCATTTACCCTGTTCCTCCACTGATTAATTAACTGTTGGACAGAATTTAGCTGAAGAGAGAAGAGAAAAAAATGATGATTCAGTATTGGATGTATGTTAGTCTCTTCAATAACAACTTCATCAAAATCAAGGAAAGTTTCTCTAACAGTTCTCTGGTGCATTAACCTGCAAAACCTGCATTGATCCCACCCTGATTCGCCATGGATACTCCAGCGCTAGTCCCTCTCCCTGCTCTTCCACTCCTTGTATCACCTAGTTAAGGATCACTAGCACCTGGCAGCAGAGTGCGTGACATTTGGATGGGAGCTGAACATGTGTACTAGTTGAAATGCATGATCATGACTGCAGACAACAGAAAAACACAAAATTTAGATTGTTTCTGTTAGGAACGCCAACTTTTCCTAGCCCATATTTTTACTGTTATCTGTTTTTTGGTATTTGATGTAAGGGTGTTGATCCGTATCATCGACTGCATCTTACTTAACTGTTTTTCTAGCAGTCATCATGGGATCTGCACCGAACAGATCCTTAATAAATGTCTGTCAAAAGATGAAAGGGTTTGATTTTTAGGCTGATTGCTGGGTAATTCATTTATAACAAAAATTATATTCCTAGTCACTACAGTCAAAATGCATTATCATTATAGATTACCAACAAATTTCAAAGAACCTAATTTAGAAAATAAAAATAGCCTGTCCTGAAGAAAATGACAGACCTCAGCAACTCTGCAACACACAAGCAAGCCACTCCAAAGACACAGTAATGAACAGCTCGTCTGTTATTGAGGTAGATGAATAGGAAACAAACTTACATAACTCTGTAAGTTATTGCTGGTTAAGAAGTTATGGTATTCAAGCCTCAACTCCTCTGGTGATATGTCTGTAAAACCTGAAGTGAGGAATCAATTGGAATCTTTAAGATCAATATTAATAATTTTGATAGTAAAGCTAAAGGTGCTAGACAAGAAAATATGCTAATGTTGATTATTAGAAAACTCTCATAAGCATAAGGAGAAACTGAAAGCCTATCACTTATCTCATGTTTAGTAAACTACAAAATTAGAATCAGAGTGGGTTATTTGGTCTTTCATTGGGAAGAATTTTCTCAAGAAATGAAGTAGGAATAACAAAGGAAAATATTTGAACACATACATTCATACTTCTGTCCAAAAACATCCTGTCAGAAACCACAATAAACAAAATTAAATGACAAATAGTAAACTCAGAAAACTATTCTTGTAATATCCATGACAAAAGAGCTAATTTCAGTGTATGAGTAGTTCTCACAAATTGGTAAGAAAAATAATATGGGCAAGAATGCATAGGCAATTTACAAAAAAGAAATCAAATAGTAAATAAATAAAATAGCTAAATTTTTAAAATGCAACTTAAAATAGTGATAAAATGCATATTTACTGGACTGGCAAAAATTAAAAACAGATATTTATTGTTTCTGATATGGGAAATGTATAGTCTCCTAAATTACTATTAAGGGAACAGAACAGTTTTTCTTGGGGAAAAATTGTCAATGAGCATCACCAGGTCCTAAAATGCTCACACTCTGACTTATAATAAAATTTCTAAGACTTAACCTCTGAAGATAATTATATATATATAAACACAGGGTGTTATATGTAAGGATTTCATCCCAGGATTTTAGTAACAGACAAACTGCAAACAAAAAAGAACACAAAACCAGATTAGGGTCCTATTTTTTTTTTTTTTTTTTTTTTACAGGCAGAGTGGACAGTGAGAGAGAGAGACAGAGAGAGAAAGGTCTTCCTTTGCCGTTGGTTCACCCTCCAATGGCCGCCGCTGCAGCCGGCGCACCGTGCTGATCCGATGGCAGGAGCCAGGATCCAGGTGCTTTTCCTGGTCTCCCATGGGGTGCAGGGCCCAAGCACCTGGGCCATCCTCCACTGCACTCCCTGGCCATAGCAGAGAGCTGGCCTGGAAGAGGGGCAACCGGGACAGAATCCGGCGCCCCAACCGGGACTAGAACCCGGTGTGCCGGCGCCGCAAGGTGGAGGATTAGCCTATTGAGCCACGGCGCCGGCCTAGGGTCCTAATTTTATATTCATATATATAAACAAGAAATATATTTGTGAGTATATACAATATCTTTGTAATATTAGGTGATTTTCATTTTATTTACATATTCCTATGCTTTTCCAAATTTTCTACAGCTATGTCTTATAATTGAAAGCTTATTAAGAAAGGAAAGCATGTGTTTGAGTTATTTTCTAGAGAATTAACGCAGACATAATTAACTCCAAGAATACAAATAACTCCAAAGACCTGTGCCTCAGAGTAAAGATTAAACATTCAAGTCGGGACCCTGGATGGCCTCCAGTGACTTGTCCTTCCCACACCTATCAACTGCTCAGCCCAAAGCACTCAGGAGTCATCTTGGATATCTCTTTTCTCATATTTAATCAGCATCGTGCTAGTTCTAGCTCTGAAACGGCCTGAATTTGACCAATTCTGTGAATAATTTCAATGCCGTCCTCAACAGCAATCACCTACTTCTCTCCCTGCCTCTACTCCTGTCTCTGCTCCCAACAAATTATTTTTGTTTTCACACAGCAGCCTGAGCAAGCATTTCCTGACTGGAAAGCACCGTCTCCGTCTCCTGCTCTTCAGGGCTGCCCGCCCAGGGTAATTAGGCCCAATGAGACGTGACCTGGCTTCTTCTGTGACCCTAAGTCATACTACTCTCTGCCTTGTTTACTCCCCTCCAGCGATTCAGGCCTCAGCTGTTCTTCTACAAGGCCACTCTTATTCCCAACTCAGGGCTTTTGAATCCCCTATGCTACTGCCAGGAATGTTCTCTCCAAATCTTCCCATAACCACTACTTTCTCATCACTCAGAACTCAGTTCCAATCCCACTTTATAAGAAAGGATAACCACTCTATCTAAATTAACACTGTTCCCCTAGCTACTTTCTATACCTTCCAGGTATAGCTCAACCAGGGTTCCTCTTCTGAACCACAGAACACAGGAAATAATTTGTGCTATTTTCTCAATTCCTGCAAGGGTGGTACAGAAGTAGCATCACTCTAGCTGCACAGGAAATTAATTCATTCTAAACAACAGATGCCTAAGGACAGTGGTACAGAAAAACAGTTGGTCTCAGGATCTATTTACATTCTTAAGAACCATTAAGAAGGAAAAAACCCTTAAAAGACCCCAAAGATCTGTGTTTTACATATATAGATAACTCCCACATTTGAAATGTAAACAGAGGAATTTGGAAAATATTTGTTCAATCATTTACAAGAAGCCACTTACATATCCATTTAAATGAAAAAACTATCTTCCAAAACAAAAAATACCTAGAGAGATGAACAGCATTGTTTTAGGTTTGGAAATCTTGTTTTAGCCTCTGCATTCACTCTGTTGCCAGAAGCTGTTCTGGCCGAAGTGTATGAAGAAAAGCTGGACTCCGGAAAGGAAGATCTAAACGGCCTTCACAGATAACTGGATATTCTGATATTGTAGCAAAATGTGACAAGTGGTAGTTTCCTAAAGGTTAGCTATAATGTGGACTTAAGCCATATTAAGACTTTTAGGGGGCTGGCGCTGTGGCGTAGGGCGTAGCGGGTAAAGCTGCCGCCTGCAGTGCCAGCATCCCATATGGGCGCCAATTCAAGACCTGGCTGCTCCATTTCTGATCCAGCTCTCAGCTATGTCACGGGAAAACAGTAGAAGATGGCCCAAATCCTTGGGCCCCTGCACACACATGGGAGACCCAGAGGAAGCTCCTGGCTTCAGATCGGCATAGCTCCAGCCATTGCAGCCATCTGGGGAGTGAATCAGTGGATGAAGGACCTCTCTCTCTCTGCCTCTCCTTCCCTCTCTGTGTAACTCTGACATTCAAGTAAATAAATAAATCTTTAAAAAAAAAAAAAAAAGACTTAGGTGGCTGGTGCTGTGGCATAGTGGGTAAGGCCGCCGCCTGCAGCGCTGCCATCCCATGTGGACACCGGTTCAAGTCCTGACTGTCCCACTTCCTACCCAGCTCTCTGCTATGGCCTGGGAAAGCAGTAGAAGATGGCCCAAGTCCCACTATGGCTGTTGCAGCCATTTGGGGAGTAAACCAGCAGATGGAAGACATTTCTCTCTCTCCCTCTCTGTAACTCTTTCAAGTAAATAAATAAATCTTAAAAAAAATAGACTTTAGTACCATTATATTAAAATGCACTGTTTTATCTTGTATGTAGAATGGACTTTTCAGCCATGCAAACATTTATAACGTCACACACAGGATCACTGGGAAAATACAGTGACTTATGTAGAACTTCTGAGTGTTGGCATATAACGTTATACAGTACCAAAGAGTCACAACTATTAATGTCACTTATCTCACCAGAAGAGACTTTAAGTACTGAGAAACCACATTGCTCATAGTGACAGAAAAGATTCTAGTTTTTGCTTGAAAGCTTGAATTTTGTTCCTGGCAATAATCACTGTTAGTTGTTTTCTCTGAAGGCACAAGCTCACTTCATTTTTTTTTTTTTTTTGGACAGGCAGAGTGGACAGTGAGAGAGAGACAGAGAGAGCTCACTCCATTTTTTAAGAACGTGTCTGCCAAATACCCAAGTCTGAATAACCATAGCTGTCATTCTTACAAATAAAAATGGACAAAAAGTGGCTGGCTTGGCTCACAAATCAGCCAGCCATGTTTCCCTGGAGACAACCATAACACTTACACATGAGGAAGAGGCGACTGTGGGCTTGTCACCAGTGACACTGAGAATTGTTTTTAAAAAGTTACGTACTCAGGGGGCCGGCACTGTGGCGCAGTGGGTTAAACCCTGGCCTGAAGCACCGGCATCCCATGTGGGTGCCAGATCAAGACCTGGCTGCTCCACTTCCTGTCCCGCTCTCTGCTATGGCCCAGGAAAGCAGCAGAAGATGGCCCAACTCCTTGGACCCCTGCACCCACGTGGGAGACCAGGAAGAAGCTCCTGGCTTCGGAGCAGCACAGCTCTGGCCGTTGCAGCTGTCTGGGGAGTGAACCATCGGATGGAAGACCTCTCTCTCTCTCTCTCTCTCTGCAACTCTGATTTTCAAATAAATAAATAAATCTTTTAAAAAAAAGTTATATACTCAGGGGTGAAGATTTAACAACATCAACCATTTTTACCTTTCCTGGGGGACACTGTGGAGTTCAAAAGGCATTTACAAGGTCTTATTCTGAGTGCTAGGTTCTACAAGCAGTCTGCTGTCTTTGCTTTGACTACGCTGAAATTTAAGCAGTCTTATCCAACAGTGCTTTGGCATCAATAGTAAAGCATCGGTGTGGTGAAAATGGCAATTAATGAAAATGTTTCTAAACGTGTCCAGACCCTGAAAGGCTCTCAGGGGTAGGGATGCCAGATTTAGGAACTAAAAATACAGGACGTGGGGCTGGCGCTGTAGCATAGCGGGTAAAACCACCTCCTGCAGTGCCGGCATCCCATATGGGTGCTGGTTCTAGTCCTGGCTGCTCCACTTCCAATCCAGCTCTCTGTTATGGCCTGGGAAAGCAGTAGAAGATGACCCAAGTCCTTGGGCCCCTGCACCCATGTAGGAGACCCAGCAGAAGCTCCTGGTTCCTGGATTTGGATAGGCCAGGCTCCGGCCTTTGTTGGCACTTGGGGAGTGAACCAGCAGATGGAACCTCCCTCTCTCTCTCTCTCTGCCTCTGCCTTTCTGTAACTCCATCTTTCAAATAAATAATCTTAAAAAAAAATCAAAGAAAAGAGGCCACTGATAAATTTTACAGAAAAAAAATATACAAGACACCCAGTTAAATCTGAATTTCAGCCATTCAAACACTTCTTTAGTCTAAGCGTGTCCCAAATATTTTGGGCTGTATATATACTAAGAATGCTATTCTTTGTTTATGAGAAATTTAAATTTAATAGGATGTCCTGTATTTTTATCAGGCAACTCTATTCAGGGTTCCACTTTCTTTATTTTGAGACTCACTTCTTTAGGGTGATAGATACTATGTTTAATTCTGAACTGATGAAAACTACTTCATTACTAATTAAGTATTAATTCTTACATGGACTAAAGTCTTAATATTTTATTTCCTTTATAGAAATATCACTGTCTGAAATTCTCTTATTTCTCTGCATTACCTCTTGCCTTTCTCTGCCAAGAACATAAGCTTTGCAAGGGAGGAATCTGTACATCATCCAGTCACCCCAAACTTTGAGCATGGCCCAGCACAGAAGAAATTCAATGCCAACTTGCTGAATGACTGAGTAACTAGAGTGCTGTGTCGCAAATGCACACAGAATGAGTGAGCAGGATGACAACAGCGGAGGCCCCTGAGTTTTGGGTACTGACTGCGGGAGTTCTCTCTGCTATATACCTGCTGTTTCCTTACCAGGTTGATGGTCCAGGACCACCAAGGTGGGTGGAAAAACCTGGATGGAGGTCTAAGTTTAAGATCATAAAGGGCTTAAGGACTATGGACAAAAGAAAAAGGGAAAGGGATATTCTAAAGGAAGGCATCTTGTCCAAACTCTCCTAATGGTAACTGTTCGTGGTTCATTTATTTGGCATGATCTTATTTTTGGAAAATAACAGCTTTAGAACACATTTTTAAGGTACCTAACTTCTCAGTTACCTGAAATATTAGACTGCCTTTTGACTGGTGAATAAACAGAAAACATCCACTGCCCAGATGACTTCCAAACCACCATATCTTTTATAATTCCTTCCCTAAAAAAAAAAGAAAAAAAATAGAGTAAAAGATCTTTTTTACATCCTGTTTGCTAAAATTTATCATTTACAATTTTCGATGACTGAAATCTTAAATTCTACTAAACATAATTTTAGATTTCTTTGCTTATATTTCCTAAAGAATGTTTTTAAAGCAGCTTACAGAAATCTGAACTACAGGGGTGAGTGTGCGGCACAGCAGCTGCAGCCCTGCTTGGGACGCCTGTATCCCGCACTGCAGGGCCTGGTTTGAGTCCCGGCTACTTCGCTTCTGATCCCGCTTCCTGCTAGTGTACACTGTGGATGCAGCAGATGGTGACTCAAGTACTTAGGTCCTCCCAGCTAATCTGGTGGGAGACCTGGTCTGAGTTCTGAGCTCCTGGTTTTGGCCTACTCTAGTCCAGTCATATTTGTTGCAAGCACTTGGGGAGTGAACCAGTGGGTGGAAACCTCTGACTCTCTCTGCCTTTCAAATAAAATTAAAAAAAAAAAAAAAAAAAAGAGAAAGAACTGTATTTTATAGCTATATTATTTATAATGTCAGAGAAGTCAGTAATTTTGATTTTTAAAACAATGACCCATTAAGAAATATACTTAAAAACTATCACAGATAGCATTTTTAAAGAACTAGAAATAATAAAATACAATACACTAATTTTAATCTTTCTTTGTTAATTATAATTAACATCAGTGAACATTTAACTAGGAACAGCAGAAATGATACAGAATTATACAATTTTCAAAGTGGGTTACAGAACTTTAGAGATCATTTTTTCCAATTCTCATATTTTGCATAATGGAAATAGATTTATATCAACAGTTATTTTGTGGCAAAGCCATGGAAAGATCTGATTCTTTCTTTTTCTTTTTTTAAAAGATATATTCAATTTGAAAGGACAGAACGGCTGGAGCTGAGCTGATCCCAAAGCCAGGAGCCAGGAGCTTCTTCCATGTCTCCCATGTGGATGCAGGGGCCCAAGCACTTGGGCCATCTTCCACTGCTTTGCCAGGTGCATTAGCAGGGAGCTGGATCGGAAGTAGAGCAGCTGGGACTCAAACAGCACCCATATAGGATGCTGGCACTGCAGGCGGCGCTTTAACCTGCTGTGCCACAGAGTCGGCCCCGAAGGGTGTTTATACTAATGCAAGAAATTCTGAAAATCATGCATAACTTTTTCATGATATGCCTTTTCATGAACCTTTTGAAGATTCTTTCATCAGAGATCTCCAAGATCACAAGCTGTTTTAAATCACCTTGTACTTTGTAAAGAACTCATCCTTTACAATGAACTTGCACAGGAAGAACTTCAGAAAAATAGTCACAATACAGTATCATCAGCAGAAAGTGGGAAAAGCATGTGCAGCCCAGAGCAGGCATTCTGCTCATACGGAAAGGTAATATATTTTTAAGTGAAATAAAATCTAGGGTGAGATATAGCAAATCAGTGGTTAGCTCTGAGTTACAGGATCATGGGTGACTTTTTACCTTTTTGCTTATTCTGATTTTTAAAATTTATCTACTTATTTATTTTAGAGGCAGAGAGACAGAGACAGAATTCCCACGTGCCGGTTCACTCTCAAAATGCCTGCACCACACCAGGACTGGTCTGGACTGAAGCTGCCTCCCAGTGGGTGCATGGCAGGAAGTCAGAGACAGGAACAGAGCCAGAACTCAAAGCTGGGCATGCCAACATGGGATGTGGATTTCTTAACTGCTAGACCTAAGGCCTACTCTATACTTTGATTTTTTTAAATAGTGGTTTATTTCTTTTAAAAGAAAACACTTTTAAAAAAGAAATTTGTTATTTATATTTATTTATTTGAAAGACAGAAACAGAGGCAGATCTTCCATCTGCCCATTCATTCCCCAGATGTCCACAATAGCTGAGGCTGGACCAGAATGAAGCCAGGAGCCCAGAATTCAATGTGGGTTTCCTACATGGGTATTAGGGAACCAAATATTTGAGCCATCATCTGCCTCCTCCCAGGGTGCACATTAGCAAGAAGCTGAAATGGGAAGCAGACCTGGGACTTGAACCCAAGTGCTCCAATATGGAAAGTGGGCACCAAATGTTCACGGCATACTCTGATTGTTTAACAGTGAGTTGTTTCTTTTTTCAAGAAAACACTGCAAGTGCTTTTGGGAACAACAACAACAACGAAACGGGGAGTAACTTTCCTGAAGGCTTTCACTTACAGAAGTTTCTTTTCGTCTTCCTGCCCATGAGAGCTAAGTGAAGCAAAGGAGTTCTCAGATAATCCGAAGCCCCTGCTCCTGACAGAGGCAGCTCCAGCGTCAAAGGCACGGGCAGCCGGCCCTTCTTGCTCTCTGCTGCCTCCCCATGGCGCAGACTGGGAAAAACTGGATGGCTGGATAACATTGGAGTATCTCTGGCTGCTAGCATTCCAACCACGTCTGTTATTACCTAAAATAAACAAAATTAACAATTTCACTGGTAACTCCTCTTTCAAAATCTCTAACATTTTCATTATGTTTCATCTTGTTATGTGTTGACATACACATAAGGTTTGATAAGGACAACATTCTACTACAATATTAGCAAATCATACTGTGGTCTCATGGCATTTTTGTGTATTAAGAGAGGATTGAAAATCCTTAGAAAAATAATGATAGTAGGTTCAGCTGACACAGATCTATTACACCGGAAGCTCGTTGTGGATAAAAAACTGTGTTTTTGTCATTCTTTGCTCCTACAGGGTCTGAGAAAACACTGAATAAATGGACCAAGAATAAAAAAAGGACAGTGAAAAAAAAGATTAGATTCTACCCTCTGACCTTGAATAGATGCTTAAATCGATGTGCCTCAGTCTCCCTTCTCCTCCTGGGGAGACTGCAGAGGTAATTTAATATGTGGATAAAATGCACTGCGGTTCTATGAGTAGATTATTACGGGACTCTGTCCTGTGCTGACAGTCATGGTCACTCATCACTTCGCGGCTGGGGCCCAGAGAGGTAATTCACCTGTCTCTGGGCTACTCCATCAGCTATGTTAAGAGACGGGAATGATGGGAGGTGCGCCCAGGTACACAAGCGCATCGCCAACTCTTCCTGACAAACCCAGAGAGGAAAGAGGGGAGGCTGCAGCAGCAGCAGCAGACCCCCCCAAACAGGAGCCAATGGTAACTTATCTCCCCAAAGTTCCAAGTCCTCTGGGGGGTGAGGACACGACCGCAGAACCTCACCTCCTCACGCTTCTAATTCCACACACACTCTTGTTCCTAGGGGTTCAATCCACTTATCTGCCAGGGGCTACCTGCACTTTCTGCACGCACTCAGCATTCGGGGCGAGCGGGTCACGCTCACCTTCCTCGGAGTCTGGGTGCTACTTTTTCATCGGGAATAGCTCACCCCCCGACCAACTGTGCCCGACGCTAACAGGGCTGGCTCCTGAAGCGGGGACCAGCCACGCCACCACCAACGCTGCGAAAGGACAGGAGGACGGACGCGGTGGGGGGGCGAGCCCCGGGCGACCCCGCAGAGCTCGCTGGGGCCGGTGCAGCCCTTCCCAGGGCTTCCCGAGCGCGTGCGTTTCTCTGCGGTGCAGTCCCAGCTAGCATTAGAGTTCCAAAGGGGGCAGCGGCCTACCCCTCGAGGAGGAGCCCCGATTCAGACCCAAGCTGCTAGCCTCTCCGTCCAAGAAAGAATTCAGTAAACCTCGGGGTCGCGGGAAAGGGCCGCTACACGTCGGTGTACCACGCCGAGGCGCCCACCGCCGCCACGCAACCCCCCAGGAGGCCCTGACAGCCACTTCTGACCTAAACACTCTCTGTCTGGCTCGAGCGCCCAGGGCCAGAGCCAGAGCCTCGCTCGCTCCACAGATCGCCACCACGGACCAGCGCTCCGACGAGGGCGCCCGGGCACCACGCGCCGCCTGGCCCGGGAGGCCGCGATCCCCGCACGTCAGGTCACCTGAGCCGCGCTGGGCGGCGCCGGACCCCGCTTGGGGACCCACGAGGGACGCGCGGGCCCCATGTCAGGCCGTGCCCGCCCGGGAAGCGTCACCTGCAGGCTGCTGCTGCTGCTGCTGCTGCCGTGCCCCGCCAGAACCCTTGGCGCCGGGGTGTTCGTTCCAGCATCGGTCTCCAAAGCGGCACCGGCCTTGAAGGAAAAACTGACAAACGGTCATAGCGACCGCATCGCCGAGCGAGCCGTCCTCTGAGAGCGAGCGGTCCTCTGTGAGCTAGCGCAGAGACTCAAGCGACCGAAGGCGCTCAACCCCGCCACTGTGTCGTCATCTGTTCGCGCCCGGAAAAGGGCTCTTCTCCCTGGGCCCGCCCCCGGCGCGATGAGAGGCGTGGAGTTGAGCCAATAGGGTGTACGAGCGGGACGGGCCTGCCGCACTGGGTGTGGCCTGGGAAGGCGGGACGCTTGAACCGTTAAATGGAGACGGGGTGGTTACGTTGGGCCCCCGACGCCTGCGAAGATCCGGGTCCGAGATGAGAGGCGATCGCGCCCACGGAATGCGCCAAGTTAAGCACGGCCCTGCGGGAAAGTTAGTCGCGGCTCGAGGGAGCAAGTCGTTCTTGTAAATGACAGATAAAACCGGCTGGGACATTCGCAGGAAACGCTGATTCTTTGTGGGACGCGCTGCAACTGAAAAGCGTTATAACGACCTTTATCTGCTATTTTCTTACACCCCGAGAAACTTTTTAAAGGTTGCTGTTTGAAGGTCTATCAGTAAGAATGGAACCGAGGAGCGCCGGCTCGAGTCCAGGGAGAACTATTGTTCGTGCTCAAATACTTAGGATTTTGGAAACAGCTGAATCTACAGCAGCACTGGGCACTAACTACTGCTAGTAACTGGTTTATTTTATAAAAAAAAAAAAAAAATTGGGCCGGCATTGTGTCACAGTGGGTTAAGCTGCTGCCTGCAATGCCTCATCTCATGTATACACTGGTTCAAGTCCTGGCTGCTCCACTTCCGACCCGGTTATGTGCCTGGGAAAGCAGATGGCTTCCCAAGTGTGTGGGCCCCTGCCACTCGTGTTGGAGACCCGGATGGAGTTCCAGGTTCCTGGCTTTGGCCAGACCCAGCCCTTGCCATTGCAGCCATTTGGGGAGTGAACCAGTGGGTGGAAAATCTCTCTAACTCTACCTTTCAAACAAAATTTTTACAAAATATTGAGAGCCATACAGAATCAAGGGTAAGGGACTTACCACATTTGTTGGCTCACTCTGAAAAGGCTGGCAATGGCCAGGGCTGGGCCTGAAGCCAGGAGTCTGGAACTCAATCCAGGTCTCCCACATGCATGGTAGGAACCCAGTATTTGAGCCATCAGTGCTGCCTCCCAGGATCTGCGTTGGCAGGAACCTGGAGTCAGGACTCGAATCCAGGTTCTCTGATGAGGGATGCTAAGGCTAGTGCTAAATGTTTCTTGTTCTCGGTTGACAGGCAGAGTGGACAGTGAGAGAGAGAGACAGAGAGAAAGGTCTTCCTTTTCGCCGTTGGTTCACCCTCCAATGGCCGCCGCGGCCGGTGCACCGCGCTGATCCGATGGCAGGAGCCAGGTGCTTAACCTGGTCTCCCATGGGGTGCAGGTCCCAAGCTCTTGGGCCATCCTCTACTGCCTTCCCGGGCCACAGCAGAGAGCTGGCCTGGAAGAGTGGCAACCGGGACAGGATCCGGCGCCCCGACCGGGACTAGAACCCGGTGTGCCGGCGCTGCAGGCGGAGGGTTAGCCTAGTGAGCCGTGGCGCCAGCCTAAGGGATGCTAGTGTCTTAACTGCTAGGCTGACCGCCTGCTTCTGTATTTTCTAAATAGATCAGTGTAATTCACTTTGAAACAAGTTTATGGGCAACTTTTGAAATACAGTACAAAGAAGTTTTCTGCTGAACCATTGGAATGTATGTTGCCAACCAAATACCCCATCATCCAAATAGTGTTTAAGTCCAACAAGGACATTGTGCTGTATAGCAGTAACAAACTCAAAATTAGGGCATTTTGCTGAATGTCCCAATAATGTCCTTTCCTTTAAAGTTTAGAATCATGATTGCCTTAGTCATCTTTCTGTATAGACTCTTTCAGTACCAACATTTCCTCAGTCTTTAGTTGATTTTCATAACCTTGACATGATTAGCGATTACAGTTTATATTTCTAAAGATTTACATATTTGAGAAGCAAGATGAGAAAGAGAAAGACAGAAATCTCTCAGCTGGTTCACTTTCCAAATGGCTGCAAATGGCCAGATCTGGGCTGAGTTGAAGCCAGGAGCCAGGAACTCCATTCTTGTCTCCCGTATTGATGGTGGAGACTCAGGTAGTTGGGCCATCTTCCGGGTCCTTCCCAGGCACATTAGCAGGGAGCTAGATCGGAAGCAAAGCAGCCGGGACTCCAACTCACATCCTGATGATGCCAGCATCCAAAGAGGCGGCTTAACCTGAGCACAGGTCACAGCCCCGATCACAGGTACCCTTGTAGAAGTTCTGCAATGCAGGTCTTTTAGATGTTTTATTAGGATTAGATTCAGACCATGCATCTTTGGCAGGCTCATCACAGAACTGATGCTGTGGTCTGCACTGTACCTGTTGGTTGTGCAGTTTGTCCTAGTACTTGTGACATTCACTTTCATCACTCGATTAAGATCACATCAGCCAAATTCCTCCACCATGGTTACTCCACTTGGGAGTTACTTTGAAAAAATAAAAAAAAGCTGATTCCTCACCAAACTTTGGTTCCATTCATTTATTCCAGTAAGTATGGACTCATTTGGTTTCTGATTTTATTCAATGGGTCATAGCCCATTACTATCATTTTGATGCTCAAATCATGCCCAGGTTGTATGGTGGGGGTTCCTTCAAACTCTTTTGACTTTTTTTTTTTTAAAAGATTTGTTTATTTGAAAGGCAGAGTGACAGAGAGAGGAGAGACAGAGAGAGGAGAGAGAGGGAGTGAGGAGGAGGGAGAGGGAGAGGGAGAGCGAAAGGGAGGAGGGAGTGGGGAGAGAGAGAGACAGAGAGAGAAAGAGAGAGAGAAAAAGAGAGACAGAATGGATCTTTCTAACTGCTGGTTCACTCCCCGAATGGTTGCAATGGCTGGGGCTGAACTAAGACAAAAGCAAGAAGCCTGTACTCCATTCTGGAGTCTGCTTATGTGGGCAAGCAGGGGGCCAATGTACTTGGCCATTCATTTGCTGCTTCCCAGGCACATTAGCAGGGAGCTGGATCAGAAGTGGAGCAGCTGGGACTCAAACTGGCACCCATATGGTAAGCCAGCATCACAGGTGGCAGCCCTACCCACTACGCCACAATGCCGGTCTTGGTATTTTATTTAATTATTTGAAAGTCAGAGTTATAGTTAGAGGGGGTAGGGGGGAGAGAGAGAAGAGAGGAGAGAGGGAAAGGGAGAGAGATACAGGTCTTCCATCCACTGGTTCACTCCTCAAATGGTTGGGGCTGGGCCAGGTTGAAGCCAGGAGCCTGGAACTCCATCTGGGTCTCCCACATGGGTGACAGGGACCGAAACACTGAACCATCCTCTGCTGCTTTCCCAAGCATATCAGCAGGGAGCTGGATTGCAAATAGAGCAACTGGGACTTGAAACAGTGCTCATGTGGGATACCACACTGGTAGCTCAATCCACTGGGCTATAGATAAAATTTTGAGTTCGCACTAACACTCACTGATTCTGCCTCCAGATCACAGGATTCACGTTATCTTCCTTCCATATTTTAACTCTTCTTTGATAGTGAGAGTCTTGGCTTCTATTTTCTTTAAAAAATTCATTTTTATTATTCACGTGTGTTGCCCAATCTCTTTGTAGCCACTAACTTCTCACCTCGCTGACAGTATGTGTAAGGTCTCTGCTGGGATCCAAGACCCCAGATGATACCACTGGTGGCTGAAGCTGTAGTGAGCACAGTCAGTGTGGTGAAGGTGGAGAGGCAGGCAAGGTCCCGGTCCTGGCTGAGGTTGTCCAGGTGGGGTGCAGTGGGAGACAGCCAGCCTGGGGCTGAGGCCTGCAAAGCTCTGAGGGGTCAGTGTAGGGAGAGGCACAGGTGGAAGTCAGGAGAGAGCCACATTCCCAAACCACAATTGATGAAGGCTGCAGGTAGGTAGGACAAGAGCAGCTATCCCTCAGAAGAGAGGAGGAGGGTCAGGTTAAATTCTGGTAAGGTGGGTGCTGAGGTCCCCAGAGGATGTCAAACACCTCCGGAATTAAAAGTCCACAAGGACCAAAGAGGGGTGGATTGTTCAGAATCTATGTGGGCTGTGGTTAGAACTTAGCTCCCAAACCCCACACAGTGAGGTGACTGTCCCCACCTGACAGAAGATGGTTTTTTTTTTTTTTTTTGACAGTGAGAGAGAGACAGAGAGAAATGTCTTTCTTCCGTTGGTTCACCCCCACAATGACCACCATGGCCAGAGCTATGCCAATCCGAAGCCAGGAGCCAGGTGCTTCTTCCTGGTCTCCCATGTGGGTGCAGGGCCCAAGCACTTGGGCCATCCTCCACTGCCCTCCCAGGCCACAGCAGAGAGCTGGACTGGAAGAGGAGCAACAGGGACTAGAATCCGGCGCCCATATGGGCCACAGGCAGAGGATTAACCAAGAGAGCCACGGCGCCGGCCCCAGAAGATGGGCTTTTTTCCTGAAAAATGAAGAGGCTTGATTCCAGAGGCTCATGGAATGTTAAGAGTCCCTTGGCCTGAGCTCCAGAATCCCCACAGCCAGGGTCATAGCCTCTGTCTTCCCAATTTGCTCTCCTTCCCAACCAGGGGGTAGGAGATGAGATTATTTTTTGGAGAATCAAACATTCCAAAAAAAATACCTATGGATCCCTAAGAAAAAACAGTTGACCATTCTGTCATCCTATGATGACATTCACTGATTATTAAGCCACCTTGTATCCATTTTGAATTTAAATACAAATATTTGGCCGAGGACCAGATAGATAGTTGAGGATACACGCCAACAGAAAAGAGCAAAGCAGACAGATTGATAAAGAAGTTAGAGGAATGACATGCCTGGAGTACAGTACATGTTAAATAAACTAAAACATGCTTGGAGAGGGAAAATGAAATAAGAATAGCCTGCTATATAACAGAAGAATCACAAAAAGGAAGTGCTCCTGGAAATTAAATGTGGATACTGGGATTGATTAAACAGAGGAACTGGAAGATAGACGGGAGAATCCCTTATGACCCTCCAGTAAGCTGGCTCTTGTAGGCCATTTTGCACCACTGCTAGGAGGGGGCATGAAGCTCAGGAAGTCGAAGCGTTCTTGTTCTGGGGATGCTATTTCAGCTTCCCAGCACACACTCTTTATTTTGATTGTGAAGTAGTTCGAATCATCTTGGGAAGGAGGCAAGTTAGCAAGAGGAAAGTGGATTCAAGCTTTTTAAGCAGCTGCAAAGAGAAGGAAGATATCTAAAGTAAGATTTAGTGTTGTCCTATTACCTACTTTTTAGGACTTAGTGAGAGTTGGTTTAATGCCAAGTTGGAGTAAATATAATTTTTTGAATGTTAATAGTATCCAATCTTATCCTTTTAAAGGTTTATTTATTTGAAAGGCAGAGAGGCAGAGAGACAGAGAGAAAGGTCTTCCATCCACTGGTTCACGCCCCAGATGGCCGCAACAGCCAGAGCTGCACCAATCCGAAGCCAGGAACCAGGAGCCTCTTCCAGGCCCAAGGACTTGGGCCATCTTCTACTGCTTTCCCAGGCCATAGCAGAGAGCTAGATCAGAAGTGGAGCAGCTGGGGCTCAAACTGGTGCCCAGTTGGATGCTGGCACTGGAGAAGGTGGCTTTACCCGCTACAGCATGGGTCCCCAATAG